TATAATCCAGGTTTGTAACGGGCTATTTTGTGTGTAACTGGGACTGGTTAGCTACGGTATAGCTGGAGGGGGAAAAAAGGCTTTTTTCTTTCCATGTCTGGTTGGCTTTTATTTATTTGCTTATTTGTAACGCCATAAAGCATGATCCTTTCTATCTATTTATAAACATATATGGGAAATTCTAAATCTTACCTAAGGGAGGAGAAAGTTGGGATAATTAATGTCACAAATGTTTCAGAAAGGAGTGGCTGTTTATTAATTCCTGTATTTGGAATCAGACTTTGAAAGCACCTTAATACTGTTAAGTACCACAGAGGATTTCTGATTAAAGGATACAGATGCAGCTTTGGGACATTAATCCTGTAGAGCAAAGTAAATGCACAAACTTAAACACTTTTTTGAAAAAAGCACTTCCTGAGTAACCTGTTTGTTTGCTAGCATCAGTGTTGAAGTCACAGAAAATATTACAAGGTGAGATGTGTAGGCATGTGTACAAGAGAAGGCAAAAGTACTGCTTCAATGGTGCTTAGAGTAAATGCTTAATGATCAGTCTCTCCACTATGATGAAAACACTGAGGCATGGAATTAATTCGCGACTTGAATTATGCTTGTTTCTGCTCTGTTTTGTTTCTTTTCCTACAGCTGTTTGTTGCTGGTTTGATTGTGCTGCTGTTAGATGAGTTGCTACAGAAAGGTTACGGCTTGGGGTCTGGTATTTCCCTGTTTATTGCTACCAATATCTGTGAAACTATTGTCTGGAAGGCTTTTAGTCCCACTACGATTAACACTGGTAGAGGTACGTGTCCCGTTACAATTAGTTACGACGCATTTCAGTGGATGTATACTACACAAAGTTTTGATAACCATCTGATAAATATCTGATTAAAAACTTGTTTTAATGTGTCACGGTTAGCCCCTAAAATCAATTGTCTAACGGTGAAGATGAAAATGTTGTCTGACTTAATTAGAATAACTACCTGAAGATTAACCTCTGTTTTTTAAGGCAGTGTTTGCCTTTGATTTGAATTGCAGTAGTTAAAATGGGAACAGTAGCCCCTTGGCTGAAGATTTTTTGCATTTCCATCTTATCTTAGCATAATTTAGCCCAAGAGCAATGCGCTCTTATGGCCAAGAAGGTCAATGGGATCCTGGGCTGCATTAGGCAGAGTGTTGCCAGCAGGTCGAGGGAGGTGATCCTCCCCCTCTACTCAGCCCTGGGGAGGCCTCACCTGCAGTACTGTGTCCAGTGCTGGGCTCCCCAGTACAAGAGACACATGGCACTGCTGCAGAGAGTCCAGCGGAGGGCTACAAAGATGATGACGGGACTGGAGCATCTCTCCTAAGAGGAAAGGCTGAGAGAGCTGGGACTCTTCAGCCTGGAGAAGAGAAGACTTGGGGAGAATCTCATCAATGTGTACAAGTATCTGAAGGGAGGGCGTCAAGAGGATGGGGCCAGACTCTTCTCCGTGGTGCCCAGTGACAGGACAAGAGGCAACGGGCACAAACTGAACCACAGGCAGTTCCATCCGAACCTGAGGAAAAACTTCTTTGCTGTGAGGGTGACAGAGCCCTGGAAGAGGTTGCCCCGAGAGGTAGTGGAGTCTCCTTTGCTGGAGATACTCAGAACCTGCCTGGATGCGATACTGGGCAGTGTGCTCTAGAGGACCCTGCTTGAGCAGGGAGGTTGGACTAGATGATCTCCAGAGGTCCCTTCTAACCTCAACCGTTCTGTGATTAATAAGTTCCGAGATTAATTTAGAAATAGAAAAGATAATAGATTCTGTTTGTTCAGGGGAATTGTTTATGATCCAAGTGTTGTCTGTGGCTACAGGTTATAGTTAGTGCCTCCAAATTACTCTAAGCCTATTTGATATGTCAGAGTGCCATCTGTCCATTTCTCAGCCATTCTTTGACCATATCTGGTTGTCTTGAGACTATGGATTTAGCAAATCAAGATACAACCCGTACCTGCGTCAAGAAGTTCAGTAGTTTAATGCATATATTTGAAATCCTGAGACGTGTTTTTCATTTGCTTTAATTTTCACCTCTGATTTCTATCACGTCCGTTTGTTGTGGTTTATTACTTTTTCATAGCTACTTTTCTCCTCTTTTGTTATTTTTCTTCTATTCTTCCCCATGCCCCCAGAAAATAAAAGAAAAAGTCTGTTTTTCTCACGTATGTGAGAATTCTAGTTTTTTATTGTCAGTAATGTTTGACAGATGATTCTGAATTACACAAACGAAAAGAAACTCCTAGATCATGATATATTTGTTGTAACAGGATTTCTGTCCTATTATATCTGATTATATATGTGTGTAATTTTTAAAACTGTAAATTAAAGCCAGATCTCTTTTGTTTAAAGAATCACATCTTCCTTTTGAAAACCTTGATTTTCTTTTATTGCTTTATGCAGGAACGGAGTTTGAGGGTGCTGTGATTGCATTATTTCATCTTCTGGCCACACGAACGGACAAAGTCCGTGCTTTGCGGGAGGCCTTCTACCGACAGAATTTGCCCAATCTGATGAATCTGATTGCTACAGTATTTGTGTTTGCAGTAGTCATATATTTCCAGGTAAAATGCAAAATTCCTCATAGCAGAAGTGCTTATGAAGAAGTGCATGGACTCTAGACACTGCATTCGTTGAGCAAAAAATTATTGCAAAAGTTGCACTAGAATAACTGAAGTATCCTAGCTTTGAGTAAGGAGCTTCCTTCATTCTATTTTTCTTTCAATACTGTTATTTCTGTAACATAACTCTGCAATAATACGGCTGTTAAAATTTATAGCCAGAAGGACTTTTACTCAGGTAGGGATGTAATCTCACTAGAGCGTTCTGTTAAATGCCACACCCGCTATGAGACTTCTTTTTACTAAAACCGGATTCTGAGACTGCAGTGTTTTTTTTATCATACAAATAATATACTTAATATTCATAGTTAACGTAAAAGATTATTTTCAGATAGAGCTACAGAACCTTGCTGCTTTGGGGTTTGCATGATATAGATTTGTTCTAGAGAACAACGGTGCGGTTAATGCGTAGCTTACTGGGTTTTTTCCCTATTTTTTTCTCTAAATATTCAGCTCTCTGTTTTTAAATTTGAGTGTTCATTAAAATGGATGCTAAAGGATATCCATATGGTATTTTTTGCTAATAAAATATCTTTTTTTTTTAAGCTGTTGGGACTGAGTGCTGGCAAAAAGTTGGAATTCTCTGTTTTTTAAATGCAGCTTTTCTTGGGCCTACTCAGATAGGAGCCTAACTCATAAACAGAATGTGCTGATGCTGACTAGTTAAAAGCCATTCGAGGTTTTTATCGAGCCCTATGCTACAAAGTAATTGTATTTTAGAGGAATACCATTAAGCAGATGAGAGATTATGTTTATGTAAAAAGTATGTAGTACAACCAAGCAGTAACGCTTAGAAATCCTCAAAATCTCTAATCCGGATTGTAGCAGAAGGCCTTTGGGCTTTACTGTTCCATACCTTGCACTCCTTATTTTTATCTAGCAAAAACTATCTTACAGGAATAGCTTTGAAGCATACTAGGAGTACCTGCTATCTTAGAAATAAACTTGGTGCATTTGTGTTCTTTCCTTTAGGGATTTCGTGTTGATTTACCTATCAAGTCTGCACGATATCGTGGACAATACAGCAGCTATCCTATCAAGCTCTTTTATACCTCTAACATTCCCATCATTCTGCAATCTGCCTTAGTTTCAAACCTCTATGTTATATCTCAGATGCTGTCTGTTCGTTTCAGTGGCAACTTCTTGGTGAACTTATTAGGACAGTGGGCAGTAAGTATTTTACCACTTCCTATAGAAATATATGTATATTTATATTTCCCTTTGTTGTAAAACTTTGCTATTTTACCCATGGAATACTTCTTTTTAACACTTACATGTAAATGCCATTTTAAACATGGAAGAACTATTCCTCCATAAATGTAGATAGCAATGTGAGAGATCTGTGAGCAATAACTAATTTCCTTTTTCTTCCTCTTTCGTAGGATGTCAGTGGTGGTGGCCCTGCTAGGTCCTATCCTGTTGGTGGCCTCTGCTACTATTTGTCTCCTCCAGAATCCATGGGTGCAATATTTGAGGATCCTGTCCATGTAATAGTTTACATAATTTTTATGTTGGGATCCTGTGCGTTCTTCTCAAAAACTTGGATTGAGGTATCTGGATCATCAGCAAAAGATGTAGGTGTTCTGATGAGCGTGCCTAATTATTATGTTTTCAGATGTAGCCTCTAACTTAGAACTGACTAGTTTATAGCTGATCACAGTTATTACTCTGACTAAATATCAGCTGATTATGAAACAGTGAAGTAGTTTCATAAAATTATATTTCTGCAGGTTGCCAAGCAACTCAAAGAACAGCAAATGGTGATGAGAGGCCACAGGGATACCTCAATGGTTCATGAGCTTAACAGGTAAGAAAATGCTAGCTTCCAACAGCGCTGCTGTACTGGGTGGTGGAAAGTGGGACTGGGGAGGTGTCAACTGGAGCAGATGCTCTCTGAAAAATCAGAGACTTGTTTCCACTGCAAATCTCAAGTTTTTTCCTATTCAACTGTCTTCTTTCCTGATAAGGTGAAAGATGTTTATAGCAGTAATTAAGAGATTATCCTATAGTTTCTTTTGTTTAAGCAGAAAATAAGGCAGGGATTTGGGATAAATCTCTTCCATCTTTGTGAAAGGAAAATACCTTGACTTTTACAGGTGCTTAATTTACTATTACTGAACGAAGATGACAGTACAATAGTGGTATTTTCTGCAGTATGCAAAGTCTGCAGAAATATATGGTGGAAAGACAGATTTATCCCTACATAGATATAACATTTAGATGTCAAAGCAGTTGTTCTTGGTTCTTTTGAAGGTCCGTACCATGCATATATACAAAATTGTTATACTATTAATTTAAAAACTTTGCCAGTATTAAATGGTTCACATAGCTTTTCTACTGGCAAATATGTATCTTAGTTTCTACGCTTTGTGTACATATAATTTAGAAGATTTTTGAGAGTTTATGGCCAAGTTGCAGCTCGGAAGTTCTGTAAATATGCTGGCTGTTTTTTTCTGTATAGATGTATTGCTAGGCCCCTCGGATGAAAAGGAATGATTATGAATACTTTTTTTTTTTTTTTTTTTGCTACAGGTATATCCCTACAGCAGCTGCATTTGGTGGTTTGTGCATTGGTGCCCTTTCAGTATTAGCTGACTTCCTTGGAGCCATTGGGTCAGGCACTGGCATTCTGCTTGCAGTCACCATTATTTATCAGTATTTTGAAATATTTGTAAAAGAACAGGCTGAAGTTGGAGGAGTAGGTGCACTATTTTTCTAGATGTCCAAATATTTCATGGTTTGTGTGAAAGAGAAAGTATTTTGACAACATGCATCATTTAGTCCAATAACGCTATTTTCCTTTTACTTGTTTTAAAGTGCTATGTGCCCCATTATTGCAATGGGCATTGAGCAACGCCTGTGTGCAGCATTAGTACCAGCTGCCTTAAGAATAAAGTTTACATTATCTTGTTTAAGTATATCTAGTGTTGCCTGTAATGCTGGAAACCGATTCATCTACCTTGCTGTTCAGACACTACAGTGGGATGGTAAAATGTATCAGTTCGATATTGGTAAACATTTTTGCACACAGCATTAAAATGTTAAATTTATTTCCCTGTTCCTGGTAGGAAAAAAAATCTGAGTTCAGATTGTCACATGCCATTATTCTTGACAGAATTTATTTGTAGCCTGTATTTTACATGAATCTTTAAAATACTTTTATAACTTGCATTTCCCCGTTATTGAACTCGGCACTCCTTATTCCTTTGTGGTATCTCCACCTAGGCACTGTTCTCTTAGCTCTGAGGGTGGACAAGCAAACATTTTACCTGAGACTGGTACTCATCTCACCTATGAACTGGTTCTGTGGTGGATTGCTGCATTGCGAGGCCCAGAGACTTCAGTTTCTTGTGCTGGGCTTCCTGTGAGACAGCACAGTAGCTGCTGTCATGCTAGCAGGTCAGCCCAGTAGTTTTGTTTAAAACATGTACTTGTGATAACTGTGCCACCGAAACTTCATGTCCACTTTGCTTTTGTGATTCTAAAGAACGAGGCCAGATTCCTAAAGCAGTGTTCATAGAAGGGAAAGCGCGGGGGAACACGGTTCCTGCT